CTGATAGGGCCATAAAAGGCATGGTATGGGACCTTAGCACCATACCTGGGTATAGCCCTTACCCTTCAGAATAGCGCTTTTAATTGACCATGGAGCTTTCCAAAGGGCAGATACAAGGTTACAGTAAGCATATTCAGGGGAACCTATTAAGTGATCGACCAAGATTTCATCACCATTTTCGCGAGAAAGGGTCCGAGGAAAAAAACAGAAAAGCAACGATCTCGAGCACTTCATGAGGATGAGCCGCAACAGATGCTACAGCTCACCACAACCAAAAGACAAAAGACACATGAAGCAGACCGCTGACGAAGAACAGCTCGCGGTGCTGAGCCTGAAAACGACTGGCTGTGAGGCGAGCGAGGGGAGAGAGCGAAAATGGGCAAATTATCGAGTCCCACCAAATTACGGCCAATCACCTGCTAATAATACGGTAATTTTGTCGATTGCTTTGCGGGTGGCAATTTTGTGTGTGAGCGAGTGTGTGTGTGAGTAGCGGAATGCGCATTCGGGGCGCTTCGACGTAAAAGGTCGCCGCCGACGTTCAGCGTTCTCGTCGGCCAGCTACTAGGGGGGCCTAGGCCTTTAAGGCCGAAGACTTCCCTTATCTTCGCTTCCATTGGCCCCTTGCGGCCTTTCTTCATCAGTCAGTTGAGGTTAATTGAAGGAATATAAATAAGATTTTATGAGACAACCGAAGTATTAAGCACTAAAATACTGCGAGAATTTGTTCTTGAAAAGCTTATGAGAGCTCTGAAGCTTTACGCGCTCAAAAAGTAAAATTATTAGGGTCTTAAAGTTCTATTTCGCCTTTGAAAGGGCGAAGGCGATGAAAAAGAGAATTGAAGGCGATGAAAAATTGTGAAATTGAATGAAATTTTCCCGTTTCGACTCCCCTTCAAATAATGGTGGAAAAATGCGTTGGTATGATTCATCTCAGTAACTTAACTCACATGAAGAACTAAAAAGCTGGGCATATGAGGGAATCGAAGGATCGGTCCGAAACGGGGGGGGGCCAGCACACCAGCTTTACCAGAAAAAAACCGAAGTCTCAACCGAAATTGGGAGGCAAAGAATACTGTAATGCGGAAAAACCAAAAATACTGGAAAATAAATATAAACCGCTATATTTTTTGTTGAAGAAATGTAATTACAGTAGCAAGAAATGCAGTCAAATCACACAAAGCCGGCACAGGTATCAGACCAGCGGATCAGGGATGTTATTTTAATTGTTTATTTATTTTAATTACGACCCAAAATGAAGCGCTCTTTCACACGGGATAGGAAGTAAACACTAAGTCAGCACTAAACAAATACTAAGTAAACAGCAAACAAAGGATGTCACCAAAAGGACCAACCGAACACTTTCTGGAAGCCAGCCGTTTCAGACATTCATAAAATTCGCAAGGGTTACTGAAGTTCCCGGAGGAGGCCGCTACGATTTTAACCTTCTACGGGCGCTAGATTCGCAGCCCCAGCGCTTTTTGGTTATCCACTGGAAGCTGTGGATCCGAATTTTCAGGTTTTCCAACGTCTGGGTAATCAAGCCCGCAATCCCAGGGTAAATGTTTTACCAGAATCCTCTGCTCTATTCTGATGGCTCTTAAGCAGATAAAAGGAAAATGGTAATCGATTTTCAGGGCTACTTAAAGTCACCATAAAGAAATAAATAAATGGCGGAAGTGTCAGCACCAGAAGGCTGGCGGCCAAGATTCCAGGTCCAGGTAGATCAGCAAGCAACAGCGGGTCGACAACGCAAGTGGTGGTGGTGGAGGGCGACTTTGAAGGGCGTACTGGACTGCTCGCCTCGGTCAATTATTAGCAACTATCCGCAAATTATGTGTCATTTTGCGAGCAATTTCGTCTCTCTGACGCTGCTGAACGCGGCCGCGGCCGTGTGTTCAGTACGTCTGACGCTGCCGCTGGCTCTCCAGAATCCGCTTGCTCTATCACAAGCATTCCCCGAGTTCCTGTAGCCAGCCGTAGTTTATCATTCGCATGGAGCCGTAGGACGTTCAGCATGCCCTTCGCGACGGGGCTTGTCGACGATGGAAGGGCTTCCGGCATTCCGTCGGCTTGTCAGGGAGTTGAGTCGATGGCAGCCAGGTTCTCAGGTTCGACGTCTCACCGGTTCCTATCAAACAAGATGATTAGCGGGTTTTTCAGCAGTTGCCGACGAGTGCTCCGGCCGGGAGAAGATTGCCGGTGTGAGCGGGGCCCCGCCAATTAGCTGCAATACCACCACCACCGTCCGAAATTGCTGATTCTAGCGGTAATTCGCTAACTATGCGCCGTGTTATAATCGTTGTCGTAGTTGAGACATACCTAAAGGAATCAGCTGATTCTTATCTGATGCTGTTCAACAACCCTACTAATTCCCGTACTGATAAGGCAATTCACCACGACAGAGGCGTGTCGTCGTCGCCAGTCTCGGGGTGTCGTCGCAGGGGCGTGGTTTGGCCTAGGGCCACATTGGGCGCCGTCCAATAGCAGAGCGCCGCCCTCCTCCACACATAGACTGCGCACCATTCGAAGACTAACACACACCGTCTCTCTGCGTGTGTGTGTCTCACTGCAAGCCCCCCAACCGCGACTGCTCCATTCGTTGTTCGTGTTGGCGACCGTCGTCGGGTAGTCGCACCACATCAGGCTCATTCAGTCATGGACATGGATCAGAAGCCATTCGTCGATTATGGCAGTTATTGCTATCCGACAGCTCAGGATTTCTCGGCTCGATCACAAGTTTCACCATATTTCTACAATTTTTCCACCAGCACCGCTTCAACCATGTATTCTCAACAACCGGCTCATTTCATGTATCCACAAGCGGCCGCCAGTTCACCGGAAGGTTTGTGTGGGTTTTCCGACAGTTTTTCGTCTATTATAAACGTCATTTGTCGGCGTACCAATTACCGGTGATTAGTGATGATGATGATGATGTTGATTGGAGCACGTTTTCTTCCAGATCAAATGACGACGAAAATTATCGAAGGCGGTGAGGTGAAAATTAATGGCAAAGGAAAGAAGGTCCGAAAACCGCGCACTATCTACTCTAGTCAGCAATTACAGACGCTTCAAAAGCGGTAGGTGTGAGCTTCAAATAGCTGTCTATTAACCCATCCCAGGCTAAATTTCGCTTTTCAGATTCACCAAAACCCAATACTTGGCCCTACCGGACCGAGCCTCTTTGGCCGCTGAACTCGGCCTTACCCAAACCCAGGTGAGCTACTTATTCTTGCCCAATCTAATCTTTCTCCCGGCTATGACTATTTCCACAGTTATTGATATTGATTCCTTTAAATTGCCTGCCATTCCCGTGACGCACGCTTTCGGGGGTTACTGTAGTAACTTGAGCCGGGGGTGGACGGTCTGATCAGACCCGAGAAGACACATGGACGCACAATGGGGGTCCATAGAGGAGACGAAAAGACATGACATGTGTCGCATTACAAGCTCTCAAAGAGCGTTCACCGCTGAGAGCTCATTTGTCCATGTTACTCACCTGTTGGCTGGTGAGAGGTTTTCGTCCTCGGGTTGAAGTCCACGGTTTCGGGGGATCCGCAATTCACCGGGGCGCAGGTGGTAGATCGTATCAGCTAACACGTCACTCAACGCAAGACAACATATGCCAGTTATCTGATGGCGCATCTTGTCACCATGTCAGCAGGAAGTTGCGAGGTCATTCTCTTCATGGATTTCCACTTGGGAACCCACCCACATGCGTGCAATGTGGGAATTCGGTGGCATCATGGAAACACCGAGCTGGAGCAGCTCTTTTGGACGCTGTCAAGCGGAGTACTCTCCTGGAAAGCTTCAGCTCACTTAATCTCAAGAAACAATTCGATTTTCATTTGGGTACGGTAACGTTATAAAGCCTGGTCTAAAATTATTGCGATAAATTAACCATGTTTTTGCCAGAAACTCATTTTCATACAATTTTATTTCTCTGAAGCTTTTCTGTGGTTCTTTCTGTTTCCCGAATGTTCTCCCTCAACCTCTGCTCAAGCGTTGTTCTGGCTAATTTTGTTACTTCAACCCTTGAACTGAGAAGTTCTTTTCAAAAAGTGCTCATGTCGAGGCTTTATTCTTGACCTTGGACTTGTTTCTGAGGTCAGTATCTTCCCAAATTGAATCAGAGGTGGTCGTGAGTGCTTTTTGCGAGGTAGGGGGTGTAGAAGGGTTTACGGCTCTAGAAGTTCAACAAATAAGTTCGCATTGGAAGGTCTTTATTTTGTGACAAAATTCCCTTTCTGGAGTAGTTCGTCTAGTTATCAAGTTTCCCCCTGGTATTCGGCCACTGCAACTTAGCCTCTCAATAACTGAGCCCAATTCGCGCCTAAGGCTGGGAAGCCCAGTCCCTTTGTGAGCGCCTGGTAGGCCCCAATGCCAGCAACATGGCTAACTCAGATGATATTCTAATAATTCTGGGCTTTTTGTGCTCGCTTTAGAAAGCTCCACAGGCTTTTTCTAGCCCTACTGAGTGACGCCTCGAACCCAGCCATTATCTTTCTAGCGCCAAATGCCTGAAAAAACGCCAATTAAAAACCAAACTTACTTTTTAGTGGAGGGTATGTTAATCTACCATGACCATGTAGGTAGCTCTAAAGAACGCTCATGGCCTCAAGAGGGGGGGGGGAGACATTCAAAGCACAGCATTTGAAAACTGCTGGTATGTGAAACTGGGGTTAAGCCCAAGAGAAGAGAGAAACTTCTCTTCCAGAACTCTTTCCCTTCCGCTCCCCAGGTTTAGTCCCAAGTTCTGTTAGTGGCTCACTCACTTCATGTTCCTATCGCATGATGCCCTTGAAAGTGTTTTTCCTTTTTACCCTGTGTTTGCTAGAAGTTCTCCCAGATTCCCTTCTAAAGCCTCTATGTTTCCAAACGATTCTCAAGAATCGTCAACACCCCAGCCGGCTGTAACAATGTGGCTAAGCAGAGCCTCGAGGCGTCGGTTCGTCTGATATGATTTAACCCGTCATTATTTCACCGCAAACCCACTATTGACACTACTACAGTATGCCTTAATTGTCACCTTTTCGTAGAGTGCAATTAGTAATGTTGCAGCGCACCACACAAGCGGCTTAGGGCAACTACGGCGCGTAATCCAACTAGAGCGCTACTTTTTCCATCTTTCGCCGTTGTTTTGTATGGCCGCAGCTGAAGTCTGAACTTGTGACGACCTTCCTTTTTGGAGTGCTGTAACTCACGAGCGTTTGTTTGATCTTTTTTGGCAACTCCCAAGCAGCTGAGTCGCTAAGAGGCTATAATGCCCTTTTACGAGGTGAAATGGCCTTGCGACGCAGCTACGTTTTACAATCCGTCGTTGCGGCCGCCTCGGCCACCGCACTCACAGCACCAAGCGCTTTTGTTTGAGCGCTGGGTGATGAGCTCCGTAACTCGTAACTCGAATATCCATAAACGAGCGACGAATTTGAAAAGGTGTTTCAGGTAATGGTAGCGGTTACGATTACCCACTGACTGACTTTTCACGGTATCCCTCATAAGATCCCCGGAATTGTGGCTTTGAAGCCCTACCCGGGGAATTATCGTGACTACGTAACATGGCATTCAGTAAATCACTTGAAAAAAAAAATCAAAAGCGGAAGTGACATCAGTAATCAATAAAATATACTGTAACATCAAAACTGTTCCCTGAAAATCGTCAAAAGGATGAAAAACTCCGGTGCTGTGAGATGCTCTTATAAAACATTCCCGCTTAGCTCTAGAAGTGCCACAAAAAGTACCGAATACAGCCCGAATATTGTCAAACCCAGCTTTGCGGGAGTCAAAACTTCACCCCTAGACTCGATTTTCAAATTACCTAGACTTTTAGTTCTGACACGTCTCCGAGCCTACCTGGAGGCTCGATCAAAATAGACTTTTGGTCGCCCCATTTGACAATAAATTTCGGGTAATTGGAAAAAAACTGATGGTTGCCAGTTAAAAGAGTGCTAAAGGACTGCAATCAGGCTGTGGCTTCCCCTGATGCGTCGACAGTTCGGAAAAGAAAATAAATATGAGTTTGGGTTTTCTCGGGAAAAATCTGTAAGACACTTGACTGTGCTCATTTCGATGTTTTCGGGCATGAGCTTTGGAAATGAAGGCAAATTGCCCAGGTTCACGATGGCCTGATGAGGGAAAACCCCGGGGTTTCACTGGCTGTCCTTCTGTCGATAGGAATATGGTTTTGTGGGATCCCCGCAGTTAATGCACGATAAATCCGTCCTCAACTTCTTGTGGACCTTTGATGGAGGGGGGGAGCAGGGCAGGGTAGGATTCACCCAGTCTTCAAATATCCACCTTCCTCCCAGTCAATCACAGTTGCTAAACAAAGCACCATCAAATCTGATGGCCTTTTAGTCACTACTCATCAACTTCTATCCAACACCTGTCCCTAATAAGGTCTAGGTCCTAGATAGCCTTGAACTAGGACCTTCTCACACATTATGTCCAGTCAAGACCCTTTGAACCCGAGTATCATAGAATCCTGAATTTTCCTGTAGAAAAGACACAGCTATCCAGATGTTGACACGATTCCCATTCTCATCACCTCGACACCAATCGGGGACGAGTGCGAGATTCATGGACCATTAAATATGAGGTTGAGAGGTTGCGCGAAGGGGTTTAATGCTTAGCGATAATGATGAGCCACCCGGGCTGGTTCGTTTTGATTTTCGACACATTCAAAAATCATTTTTGCATTATCATCGATATATCTAAACCTTTAGAACTGGAATCGGGCGTTTTTTCTTGAAACTGAACCCTTTTCAACCTTCAAATTGCTCTGGTTTAATAGCTGTGCGATGATGATATACAAAAACATATTAGAGCCGCATGACGCCGCACTTCGACACGGACAGTGTCGGGGTTTGGGAGCCCACCCTAGTCCAATTCGAGGGTCATCAGGAGGATCAGTAACAGCTTTGGTCCATTTTTCCCCTCCTTCCCCGATAGAAACCCAACACGTTTGGTGTTCGATTTTGTGTCGTCCTTCAAAGGACGTTCGGACGGGCGAAGCCCAGATGACCGTCGTCTCCACGACTACCGTAACCGGGCCGAATTATCATTCTCGACCATCCGAGCTCATAGCGATGTCTCGTCGGCACGCGCGTTGCGATTTTCCGCCCCTGCGAACACACCTGCGTCCCCTGCGCGCTTCAGCGTCGACCGCCGCTGCGCCGCTACCGTAATCTGCGCGTTTTGGTGACGCGCGCACGACCTCCAAGCGCCGGCATCCTGCGCCAATTATCCTACCCTATAACAAAGAACGCACGCTGTAGGACACGCGTGTCCGATGACGAACTGGGACCATATCCACACATTCGAATGGAATAAGCCAAATTATTTGAATGCCAAAAGCGCGTCCGAATCGCAAAGAATCTACGAGCTTTCAAATGTATTCGAATTTTTCAGGTGAAGATCTGGTTTCAAAATCGTCGCTCAAAGCAGAAGAAGTCGAAAGGCAGTGTGGAACGGACGTCGGATGAAGAAGGGGAATCCGAGGATCGAGCCGATTCAACTCCACCCGAAGAAGGCGGCTCCAACAATACCGTGTGTACGGCTGGCCAGGCATATTGACCGTTTGCGCTGCCAGCTTACCGCTCGGCAGGATCTTCGCGACTCGTCTTTTGGTCCTTCCAACCTGCCATCGACCGTTCTACCACCGCAGTCTCAGCAAACTGCCGTACCGCCATCGGGTTTAATGCCACCGCCGTTGAACACCCCCTCTATCCACTTATGACCCACTCAAGTACTCCTCGAGCGATGAGCTTAAGCCATTCTATGATCAATCCGCCTATTACCAACTCGTGACCATCGCCGTACAATGATAGTATATGAGAGAGAGCTGTCCATCATTATCCGCTTACTTTCTTTGAAAAATTTACCAAATGATCCTTCAGTTGCCGGTTCGGCTGGGTAGGAGTTTAACGTAAACCCGGCCCTCAGATGTCAGCCGATCACTGGGCTGTGGTTGGAAGGCCATCACAAATGTTCCTTCCCCTTGTTGCTCTTGTGTTTCGTGTCATTTCATTTTCATGTACTTATTCGCCCCACACAAGAATATTCCGTTTCACAGCGACTGACGTGTGCAACTAAGTCCCCAAGCATCTGTTACGGATCTGTGTTCCTTTAAATTATTGATTATTGAAATGCATTGATTGATTGATTGATCGATTTTATATTTTGTTTTCATCGTTCTATGTGTGGCATTGTGGACAAGCTTACTCGGCCGTTTTTGTGTTGTCCTGTGTCAGATTGGGTGTACATGATGGGTATAGGTAAAGGGTAATAATAATAGTGTTGGTGTAATAGTGAGATCAAAAACATGGGAAATTTAACAGTTACTGGCAATTTTACTCGGGTATTTTTCGACTTGTACCGACTCGAAGTACCAGAATATGAGAGCGAGTTGCTAAGCTTCCAACCAAGATTGACAGTAACTTTCATTAGGCCGACTTTCACCTTCTTCAGAGCCTTGGAAAGACGAAAGCCATTTAGGAAATTACCCGTCCAAACACTATTTCAACCTACAAGAAAAAAGCATCGTTGAGCTGCTGGAAAAATTCGTATTACCTTCTGATTTGGAAAAGGGTGGGATGCTCCATGAACCCATTTTTCGTTTGATTGTAGAATTGATTGGAAGAGCTCAAGGCGCTGGCTTGGATTTCACTAATTCTATCTCATACGGCATTTCACAGGACAGACGAAGAGGTGGGGTGATATGGGGAAGGTCAGCAACTAATGATTGAACCGTTTTAGGAAAACACAACCTAGATACTCCTCAAAATAATCAGCGTTCACTAGTCTCGCCATCGGTATGTGAGCGTTTCGAAGCGGATAAGCAGCGGTTTTGTGAAAAGCTCAGTATATCCCTTTGAAAAAGCAGGTCCTTCTTCTTGGTCAAAAATAATGGTGCCAAATTCCAAAGCGCGCCTTGAAGACGTG